GGTTTGTTGTTTTTTTTTCCTGAAGTGCTATATAGCTTAGGGCTCTGGAGTCACTTGGCAGAAGACAAGGGAGCAAAGGGGGAGATGCTGTTCAAACGTTCTCTCACTGTGGTCATAGTTAAAAAAGCTTCTGTCTGACCTGTCCTAAATTGTACTTGCATTATTACACACTTGGAGTCTCTGGATTTCTGACATTTTTAATCATCATGGATAATATTCATTGATAAAAATAACATTTTATCACAGTGAATATTGTAAGCGAATACTACTTGCTGTTTTCTCAAATCAGGCCATTTCACAGGTGGAAAAGTAAAATCCATTAAGAGTTTGGGGGAGTGTTCCACATTCTTAGCCATATACTGAAGAAAACAGATTTATGTTCAGTATTGGTAATCCTAATTCCATACACTTTTGCATTTACTCTCAGGTGCTTTATCATTGGGTTGCTACCCACCACCACTGCAGGGAAATTTGTATCACAAACTCCTGATGATTCCATCTTACCTATCAGAGGTTGAGATGCTGTTGGCCATTGAAATATTTCTTGTTTCGAATGCCAGTGATATTCAAAGTCCAATGGCTACTAGTCAGACTCTTCAAATAATACTGAAAAGGTTTGTTGTCAGATATGTGTCATTTTGATTGTATTTATCCATATGATCACGTAATTAATGAGAGATCTTATTTTCCATTGTCTGGGAAAGAATGTTTGGGTTTAAAGTTGGTTTTAGTCCTCGTTTCTAAACTGGTTATAGAACAGTAAAAGGGAATGGGGAGGTGGTGTTATTAATTGTTTTTACATGTGTGTAGCAGGAAAGTAATCGTTCCAGAGTGATACTGGCCTGTGTTCCCTGAGTACATCTGTCCCACTAAGTGTGCTGTATTTTCAAAACCAGGATAGCTTGATATCTTGGTGTATAGATTCTTGTGTTGTGGTTAAGCAGTGCAGCAGAAGAGCACTGTCAAATACTCCTTTCAAACAGCAACTCTGAAAATTTCTTGGCTGTTTTTGGAAAGCGCATGAAGCCATTTTACTTGGTTCTCTTTATAGGGGATATCTCAATATTAATTTTTTTAATTTTTCCCCCCTTTCTGTGAGACTTCATACCTTCAGATAAGAATGTGTTTTGTTGCTTTTTCCTTTTGTCCATAAGCCACCAACCAATGTCACTAGATTATACCTACATTTTGTTTTTCAAGACCCCATTTTCTCTTGAGATTGACTGGCTCAGCATCAAAATGTGAAACTATCTAAAAAAGCTACATTTGTTAAGAAAGATGAGCAGGGACATCTCAAATTTGAGAACCCTGTCTTCCTTCCCAAGGAATACATCTCTTTTATTTTGTTCTTTTGATAAACAAGTTTTTTACTTCTTGTTTTCATGTGTATGCTATTGTACCTCTGCTTGTTTGCTTAAAGGGTAAATTCTGCTCCTGCAGAAATGTAGGCATGTCACTTAGGCACATCCTTACTCCAAATGTGATTACACACCAAAAATGAGCAATCCTTTTGGATTCAAGCATATGCATGATGCTTGCTATATCCAGTTCATAAATTGGTTCACATTCTTCTACTGAATTTTCCAGCCCAGAGTCAAACATTTCTTCATAAAACATGCTGTGACTATTATAGACCTACTCTGCACTAGCATTAAATCCCATTACTTTTCATTATCATAGAATATGTTTAAAATACACTTTTCCTAACTCTTTAATTCTTTAGAATAATCAGCTAGAATTTGTCTAGAAATGGACATAGTCTGTTCTAAGTGAAGTGAGAATTAGACATTATTTTAATGTTTTGTAATCTTGTTGCCAGTATAAAGCATCAGGCAAGTGACACAAGGCCTGTATGGTACCTAACTTTCTGTTTGTGAAAATTCACTTACAGATGTGCAGATCAGACAGTTCAGAATAGCAGTGACTACCAGGCAGCAGTGGAGAGACTGATCCTGGCTGCTCGTGTATCTGATCCAAAGCTTTTTCTTAAGCATATGACAATGAATGTTAATATGGAAGAAGTTTACAGCTTGGAGCTTACATCTGCTCTAAAGTGGCTTCAGGAGAACATGAAATGGGCTGGGAAGGTCTGGCTGTTTCAGTAGTTATTAAATAGTCAAGACTTCTGGGTTTTAATGGTTAAATTAATCATTGTTGGAAATAACACAAATTAATAAAGGCGGTTCCCCTGTGTTCAGACTGTGCCTTACTGATTTACAGCAAGGCTTGAAACCATGTCATGTTTTTAAATACTTACATTGATGATAAGGCAGATAGTAGCACAGAAACAGTATTTTTTTTCCCTGACTATATAGATTGTCACACTGACTTACACAGATGTTTTGTACTGGCATCATTAGATAATGAGGAAACTGCAGCCTCAAAACCTACACTCTGTTTTTTTACAGAGAATCCACTTCTCCCAGCAGGTGATAGCGTATGTAAGTGCATTGATTGATTGATTGTATATACTGTTCTTGATTGAGACATTTTCCACATTGCTTCATGGTCTGTAGAAGTAATACGTGTTTCCTTTTGCCTTCTTCACAGTATACTGTGCTATCTGTGTGTCCCTTAGAGGCTGTTTTCCTTACTCCAAAAACCCAGTAAAAAGCACTGAGAATAAACTAACTTCAAGATCACTTGAGACATGCCTGACTTAGGATACCTTCCTTCACAGAGCTGAGGGGCTACATAAATTGCTCACACTTGGAGGTTTAGTTGTGTCTTGATAATAACTTGTATACGGCTTCCCATTTGTATATATGCATTCTTACACTGAAAAAGAAAACTTGCTTTCTCCCTTATTGTGCTCTTAGAGGGAAGTGCTTTTGCCCATTTTTTTTAGTTTCTGACAACTGCATGATGAAATGGAGGCTTCAATCAAGCTTGTTTTTAAGGGATTCTTCCTTTTTCCACCTGAAAATCCTGAATCAGATTTGGAGCATTAATTGCTTAAGTCACACTTCATCTACTGATCTACAGCCTGAGTAAGAAGAACGAATTGTTTCGTATCAGAAAACTTTTGTGGGAAATTAGTTGGACCTCTGTCAAAGTTGATACTTGTCTGAGCTCCCCAATTCTGTAGTGTTAGTTTACATCTCCTGTACCAACCTTCATACGCATGCCACACAGCTCTTTTGGTCCTCTCTCCATCCCCTTTAGAGCTTTTTGTGCTGAAAATTCCTGCTTTCTTGGATATAGAAGTTCTTGGGGTTTTTACAACTGTTCCATCATACGAGAGATCAAGATGGTGGCGTAAGCCCACAGTGTTTGAAAAATCTTTCCCTCTTTTGGGACAGTATGAGTCTCTTCCCAGGTCCAGCAGCTTTATTTATTGCAAGTGTCCTTTGCGCCTCTGAATCATGAAAGCCACTGTGATGTTAGCACTGTATGGTTGTGGACGGTTTTGATGGATGGGGTGTCAGTGTTTTGGGGTTTTTTTGTTTGGGGGTTGCCACTCTAGTCTTGAGGTTCATGCCATTAATCTGATAAATCTGATCAGCAGTTGCTTCAGAGTCAGGTCCAGACCCTTTTTGATACCACTGCTTATCCTGTTTGTGAGTTGCTACTGGAAAAGAGAGGATTGAATATGATGACTGCCAAGATCACTGCCTTCCTCCTGTGACACCTGTACAGAAAAATGCTCTTGTGTTTTCACACGTTATCATTCTTCTGTAGGGATTTCACCTGCTTTCCTTCTAAAAGCAATGGAAGATTCAGTACTGACAATTGGATGGCATTTATTTAAAAGCTCCTTACCTCAAAATTTCTCTTGAACAGTTGGCACTAGTTCAAGCAGCCTCTAGGTTCCACCACATGGTATTCACCAGATGGCTCTGCCATTTGCAAGGTTATCCACCTGGTCAAATCCAGCAGTATTTTGCTCCTTTTGTTTCTCAATAGCTGAAAAGACTGGATAAGAAGTGATGAGGTTTCAGAGGGGGGATCTAAGCTGGTGTTTCTCCATCCACTCCATATTAGTGGTAAGAGCAACTTTGGAAGGTTTTGACAAACTTAAACTGGCAGTGAGAAACTAAGTCATTTTTGCTAATTACTTTTTGTAAGATCCTTTGTAGCTTAATCTCCCTTGGAATTAGTCAGAGGCTTTCTAAACTTCAGCTAAATCCCACACTTCTGTAAGCTTTTTATTTTCTTGCTGATATCTATTCCAAGGGGATGCCTTAACTTATAGCAATCATTCCCAGTAGAGTTTAGCTCCTGCAATCTCATGTCTCACATTTACATCAGAGTGACAGTTAGCATCTTAGTTCCGTTTTGTGCCATTACCAGATGTGGCTAATACTGTGTTCGAGAAATGCAGAATGGCCAAATTCTCTTAGTCATCTATATGGTTTCAAAGCTTGGGATGTTCTGGAGACAGCTTTATTTTCTCCATTATAAGCCACCTTGAATTTTCACTTAGCTCATCCCCAGAAAAAAAATTCTAAGTGTTGCTTTACTTGTCAGACAGAGGTTAATCATTGACCTTCTAGCTTAACTTGGAACCACGCAAACTATGTGCAGTGTTTTGGCTCCATCTCCCAAGTATCATCTTCAGCTGATAGGATGCAGTCTCAGCCCTGTGTTATATTAACAAGCAAAGCAAGCTCCCCACGATGTTGCTCAGATGTTCTGTTACAACTGGTGCATCTGGTGTTTGTGTCAACGTAGCATTTCTCCCTATCACCATGATAAAACAGGCAATTTAAACAACTGTACTGTTAAGTCGAATATTTTGCATTTTTTGTGCTGTCTGAGTCCATTTGAAATACCATACAAACCTGGTTGTGTTGATGTGTATCAAAATGCCAGGAAGCAACTTTCTCAGTACTGTTTTGGTGACAGAAATTCCATGTGACAAACAGGACAAAACTCCAATGTGGAATGGAAATAAGCCTAGAAAGATGAAAAAATATGTTCTGAAAAAGTACAATAGAGACAATGCAGTTTTTCAGACCCTGCCACTCAGGAGATGTGACATGTTTAGTTTGTCATGTACATTTACCTGTTTGCAGAGAGAGACAGAAAAATGTGCAGAAAACTTCCCTGTGCTGTGCTCAGTAGCTAGGTCTAGACAAGGCTGTGCTCCTTCACTATGTTGTTAGATGCTTGAAAAGTTCCCTTTGTGAAAATCTTTCTTCGGTTTTCACTGATTACGAGGTATGCTCTTGGAAAGATTAACTTCTATTAGGAATGGACAGGTTCTTGTAACTAAAACAGAATAATGTTGTTTGGAAAACTTACCACAGTTTTATTTCAATGCATTGAGAGTTTTGAACGTTTCTTAACCCACATCAGGGATGGAGGTAGGAAGCTGGAAATAGCAGCTTGATAGTTTTACAATGTTTTATAAAGAGCAATTGTGGGGGTCATTTTTGAGGGGTTGTTCAGATGTTAATAAATGTTTTTTATTCTGTGAGGTATCCGCAGTATTTGTGAGTATTGTCTTTCAATTATTTAATTCCATTATTAATTACAGATCCTTGTAATTAATATTCTTGGGTACACAGGAGGACAGGCAAATGGCAAAGCAGACATGGAGTTTAGCATCTTGTAACTACTGCAGGAATCTAGACTATTGATATGCTGCGCGAGGAGGTTAAGAATGTGTGAAATCAGACTATGCAGTTTTTCACCATGCCACAGCACATAACGTGGCAAATGCTCATGAATAAATTGGGCAGAAACTCCCAGCTGTGGACATGGCCAGCATCCAGTTTGAGCTACAGACCCGAGCAGAGGTGACAGCGAGGCCTGGGGGCGGGGCTCCATTCATGGGAGACTTCTTAGGGATGTCAGTGAGAGTCTCACATGAGGAGAATGGTAAAATTAACGTCCTTGGTGTAGTAATCAAACTTTTAATTACCAAAATCTTAATGCTATACTCCTCAGCTTAGTGAAATGCAGGCACATTAACAACAATTACTAAGGTCACATTTCTGTCCTTTCAGTCTCCTGCTGTGTCTTCACAGGGATTTTATTTTTGCAAATCCCAGGTCTGCATTTTTCAGCCTTAACCCCTTCTGCATAACTGTTTTTTAAAATTACTAGTATGATGAGTAGTATCAAAAATTAATGCTGACATTGTTGGCCTCAGAGTTTCTGTGCTATTGCATGTGATGGGACTGGAGAAACTGGTCTTCCACAGACCACAGTGCAGAACAGAAACAAAGGAGCAAGAAGAAAATGGCTGTTGCCTACTTGTAGCAACTTTATTGTGATGCTCATAATTCTTCTGTTAGGTATTCAAAATACATTTAACTGGGGGCCTGGAGTGATGCTCTGGCTCCATTTGGTAGTGGCATCTGCTGTTGAGCTCTCACAATTTACTCTATTTCTCGCAGAGTTAAACGAAATCCCAGGTGGAAGGAACATCACACTTTCTGATGAATAAATTAAATTTATTTTTCCGTCTGTACAATTATGCAACCAGTTTGCTTACATAATGGATGGCTTCTATCAAAGCAAAACCCATGCTTCACATCATGGAAATCACACCAACACCCCAAGGGTTGTGAGAGCGTCAACTTGATTTAAAGCTTCACTTAACTACAGATAGCTCCTAAGCCTTGTCAGCCCTCTTTTTAACTTTTTCTGCAAGGAAGTGCAATAGATTGTATGCAAATAACTCCAATCCCGTAGAGTTAACCTCCCTTTGTTCTGAAACTAGGCAGACCAGTAGACGTTTTTGCTCTGAGGCTGCACCTATCAGCTGCTTCTTGACACCACCTACCTTGGAAAAAACCGGATTTGTACATCAAGCATTACTAATCACAGAGCAATCGCTCTTGCTTTTCCCCTCGGGGCTGCTCTGGGTTGGTTTTTCACCCCTTTGGCGTTTTCTTTCTGCAGAACAAAGGGAATGCGAAGCATGCGGAACTATTCAGAGAACCCTCTCCCATCCCCTATCACAAAAGCGGCGATTTATTGTGTCTGGGATTCCCCCTCCACATGCCCCAGTGGACATGCTCAACTACTAGAAGCAGCCCCCGACACCTAACATGGCTCACACAGACGCCGGCCTCACCGCGCCACACGGCGCCATTTTCTCCCCCGACCCGAACG